CTGACAACAGGCCAGCGAAAAATCTAACAATCTACAGCAAAACCATCAATTATTATGGGCGTTATAACGTAGGTGTGCAGCTGGACGAAACATACACGTCGAACCCCCCCAGACGATTTGAATCCCTGACGAAACATACACGTCGAACCACGGCAACGGGTTAATGTAAGCTGACAAATTTATATTTACATAGGCTGGATACACAAAACACCCTGATTAATCTTACATAGTTAAAATGGTTTGGAAAGGAAGTAATGAAGTTCCTTCAAGAGATGAGAAAGTTAAAGAGTCATGACTGGTACATATTCATCTAATCAAATGTGTGCAGTGGGTTAATTTGATTTTTCTGACAAGTCACGGCCATTTTCTTTAACTTCATATTCTCATATAGTTTACTGTCAACACTTTGTTATGACCAAATGATTTAACCTTTATCCAACTAGTTTTTAAATTTCCTGTTTGTACTCTTGGCATGAATTTGAACATGGGTTTTAAATTTATAGGGAAACAAGCGTAAGAAAATAAATTGTATGTTACTTTTTTATGCTTAAAAGACAAAAGAGGAACTAGATTATTATGAATGAATCTATGTTCCTGGGCATCATATTTCAAAATTACCAGACGTTATATGCACAATTACTGTGCCTGAGCATGTTTTGTTGTCTTTTCTTAAACATAAGGCACATTGGTAGGCCTACACTCAGTGTAACAAACACTGCACCCAAGAGCTTTGAAGTGTGACTCTGTAATAAAAATACTTCATTTGCAATGTGCTGATCTCTGGCTACCTTTGATACATGTAATAGGCAAAAAAACAAACAAACAAACAAACAAACAAAAAATTATAGCATCGTAACAACACGAAGTTTACAGTTTCCGTCTATGAATCTGATGCAGTCACTCCGTGTAACGGTTCACAAGTTACTATTGAGAAAGATGGAATGATCGATCTATACTTCCTCCTCCTCTGCATCATCATGATCATCACTGTCATAACTAACATTGGCAAAACAACCATTTTTGAGGCTAAGCTTTCCTTAGAAGGTTCTGCTAGATCTGTACTGAATTAAACAATTTGGTTTTCACAGTAATTTTTTTACAGAGCAAAGTCATCAGCTTTGCATCCAAACCCCAACCTCAAGGACCAGGTCTCTGCATATGTGACCCCCAGTGACATGGCTTCCCAGTCACACTCCTAAGCACCAGGTTCCCTCTTCATTGCCTTCTGTGACTTGCAGGGATACAGTAGAATATTTTAAGCCACCTCCACACAGTGCTTTATAATTTTCTCACTCATGTATACACCACTTTTGTCTCGAGTCTAATCTTCAAGTAAAGATGAAAAATATATTTCACATTACATACCACTACAGTGGGGCTCTCAGTGGGAAAATAAATTCTGAAGCAGCTACCTGTGCCTGATCTGATTACACTAATTCTTCAAACAGCTAGTAGAACAAATAGTGGCAATGGATGAAATTTAAATTGTGCCTGAAGAGTTTATAAGTTAAAGGGGATGCTACTTTCTGTTTTGAATGTTTCAAGAGCTACCATACCAAGATGAACACAAATCACATTCTCATATTCTGAAAATATTACAGGAATTGCTTACCAACTTGGAATGAAATCTGATTTGAAGCCACAATAATATCATCAAAGCATGTAATTCTTTTGTGAATTTACAACCCCATCTTTTGTACTCATGTAATTTAAAATGTATTTAGGTTAGTCAATTTTGGTTTATTCCAGTCCAATATACTTAACCCCTATTTACAAGATACTCCATAAATTATCTCAAATGTTAAAGATGTAAGTATAAGTCACATCAAAGTTATTAAATTCTTCTTCAGGTATCAGTAAGATTTAAGAATGCTTTAAGTCTAAAAATTATGGTTGCAGTAACGTCATAGCAAGCAGTCATGGTGCATGTTTTGTTTCTGCAATAAACAGACATGAAGGTCATACAGGAATGCAAAGGACAAAACTAGAAAGTATGTACACTGCATGGAGTATACATTTCCACCCATTCAAGTTTCTGTGACATAATGTAGTTTCTGTCAATGGTCGTCATTTAATAAATTCAACTACTACCTATATTCAAAGAAAATAATATAAAATTAAATGGAAACTTTATAATTTCACCTCACCCAATGGATCCAATACACTGGCCACAGTCTGTCCAATGTTTCTCAGATACTGGACACGGACATCTTCCTGCTGTTCTTGTGGTTTCTGCTTCTTGCTACTTGAAGGGTCAGCAGAGTCTTTTTTATCCTGGGGTTCTTCTTCACCTGGGAGATTTGTCCACTCATTCAGGTATGCAGCAAGCGTTTCTAACCACCCTGCTCCTCCACCATGTCTCCCACCATGATGCCTCCCGCCATGATGTCTTCCTGGGCCATGGCCTGCCTCAGATTCCCATCCACTGCATCGACCACTTTTGTGGACTGCTTTTGCCAAATGATGAGCCAATCGTTTGCCAAAGTGAGGCCGCTAAAATAAAAATTAAGAACTGAGTTTGCTGTGCATTGTTTATATATGAAACTGTTGTCTATCAGGTACTTGTGTTTCAGTTCAAAATGGTATACACAATCAAAATTCAAATTGGTCTCACATAATTTAAATTCCCTCTGGTTGTTCTAGTACAGAACTTCAACCTAAGAATTACTTACATTGCATCATATTAGCACAACATTTATCTAACAAATATAAAAAAATAACCTTTCAGATTCCTGTTTCTTACCAGTCCCAAACAGAGGACTCATATCCACCATCTAAAAATATTACCAAATTTATTCTGTACTCTTGCCAATAATTTACAGTAGTCACAGCTGTCAAAGCAATGTACAAGTACTGTCAAACATTTTTTGAAACTCTCATTTGCATCATAACATCTAGGTACTGCTGCTGTCAACACAACAAACTATTTATTTTAACAAACAATTTATTAAAATCAATAAAAATATTTCAATGGTTTAATCAATTTTGTCTCATTCATCACTACATATTTTGGCCGCATGGCCCATCATCCGGTGGTTTGTAAATTAACAACGTGCATAATTATTGAACTGTACAGTTAAATGGATCCAATTTTACAATGAAAAATGTCATAAATAATATGTGTTACATGATAAAATATAAATCATAGTACTTTTCTTAAAATTGGGGTGGGGGTTAAGTATAATGTGGGGCTAGTCAAGTGTGTTATATGAAGGGTGTATATGTACACCAGAATGATGAGTAATGCAGTATTCATTCATAGTGTAATATTTTATTTTTTATATACTGGTGGATCTATATTCTGGAAGCTCTGGTGTAGAAGGTGTGTTATACTACACTGACAAAGAATTTTGTGTATTTCAGATGGGATGTAGTATTCACTTGCATAGCTGTTGGCATAAGGTGGAAGTGTGGATGTGTGGTGGAGTGTAAGCTGTGTTGTAGTTGTTATTTGCTGTGGAAATTTTTTGTAGGGTGGATTACTATGTAGTGGAATTCTCAATTACTGCTGTTGGAACTATGAGGTTGATTACTGCCTGCTATTGTGTGTCTGGGATGTAGCTGGTTGAAGTGCTGGTAGGTACCCTGAACAGAGAAAAACTTACCCCAGTGCAATTTTATCTGCCACAAATCCCACTTGGATTACCCTGGAACTGAATGTAAGCCTCTGTGGTAAGAAGGCAATGAATACCAACCTCAGCACACAACCAGCAGAGCGCATGCCCTATTTCAAGATCCAAACACGGAATCTTCCAAATGTAACACTTTAACGCTATTCAAGCTTGCTTGGTTAAGTGAAAATGAATGCCACTGACCCAGAACGTGGGAACTGGTATGCGTATCATGTAGTGTTCAGCATGAAGACTCTTGTTCTCACAGGCTGCACACAGATCATAGTCAGGGCACTGAATGCATTTGTAGCGAAAACCTTCCACCTTCTTCTCACATCCATCGCATATCACACCAGCATGTTGGTGCCCACCTGTGATATAGTATTATTTCTATATAAAAATACTCGTTATTTACAACATAATATGTATGTCTTTGTATCAAATTGAAGGAAGGAGAAAAAGCTGCCATTTTAGGTGGGATGTATGAAATGATGTAATGGTAAAGAAAAATACCAACTTCTATGACTTACAACTACATCCAAACACATAACAGTTGCACATGTGAAAATATTAATAACTCAGGAATTCAACTAAAATTTGCTGTCTGAACCACTTACTAAATGCACTGATGTAAAATGTATACAATTCTCAGAGAATCCTTTACAACCACACAATTCTTTGGATTCATACGGGCAATATCAGGGCTCCAGAAATACAACTCAGATGTATTTCTTCTTATTAAAATCTGTATGCCTGGTCTCAATTCATTTATACTTGCCATCACTCTCCTCTACTGTGCCTATGAAAAACAGGCAGAGTATTTCACAAGGCTTGTACAGCACAATATTCTGAATTCAAATTTTTGGATATTATCCCATTTTTTTATTCAAATGCAATATCTGTACAAGTACATATGCCTACTTAAGGTTCATTATTTCTTTATTTTTCTCCATAATATTTTAGTATGTCATAACATAAAACAATTTAACTTGCAAACTCTGCCAAAAAAACCTACCCATTAGAAGTGTCAAGGCCATTTGGAGGGTAAATACAAAGGCACCAAAAAAACACTGCAATACTTCCCCTAAATGACCTTCTAACATTAAAAGATCTATTCTATGTGAAAGTGCATTCTTTCCTCTAAACATCAGTATGTCATATCTGATTTCATCTTTTTTTCCCCCCCCCCCCCAGCACTACAGCCCCAGTGGGCCTAGGCCTACCTCCATGAACTTCTCCGTTCACTTTGGTTTTCTATATCTTACATGTTCAGTAGGACTCCTTGGGTGGGTGATCAGCTCGTCGCAACTGACATTATTTACTAGTTAATGAAGCAATGAGCCAGCCTCTATGCCTGCAGTGCTTTCAACACAAGTACCTCCAATCAATCTAGTAGGTACAAGGTAGGTAATGGGTCAAATATATTTATGAACACTCAGATATTCAAATAAATTATTTTATAGTAAGTAAAGTAAAAGTAAAGCTATCCCTGTACCAAGCCGTGAAGGCCCAGAGGGTTGTGAGATGTTGATGGTCTCACATTTCCTAGACAATCAGCTCAAAGATGGCGGCAAGGCTGTCAGCCTTACATGCCACCCGCACTTTACTCCCCAGGAAAATTATTTAATTCCTGGTATTCATTTCTGTTACAGGCTGAGTCGACCCCAGGGCCATAGTGCGGCTGGAAGGATTAGGTCAATTGAAAAAATCCAATGACCTCATCGGGATTTGAACCCATGACCTTCCGGCTTGTAGCATAGCCCCTCAACCAACTACGCTACCATGTGCCTCAATTATTTTATAGTATTAATGGGAATCTACAAAGAGAAACAGTACTTAGAGTAGCCTTTGTGAGGAAAACCACTTTACTACTGATGAGGTACCATCACCACATTTATTCTTGTTAGGAACTTTCATAATTCGTGTTCACATCAAATTTCATACACCTAGGTCAAAGGGGCCATTAGTTATCACTAAGTCAAAGCTAAACGAAAATTTTCAGTCATGTTATCGTAAAAAAGAGGGGGAAGGATCTTGTGTTAGTATTTTCTTACCACTTATTGCAATGGGCTGTTCTCTAGTCTTTCACGGTTTAGAAACCAGTGTGACCAAGAATCGGTAACAGCACAGTTATCTATGAGGACTAATAAAAATGATGAGATTCATACCTTGGATAAACGGCACATAAACATAAACATACACCTGTGCTGAACATGTCACAACATGTTACTGCATGTTCAGGTATGTGTGTACAGCTCATTCCATTTCTTCAGTCAATCATGGTCAGTGTTTAACAACAAAGTCGAGAGTGTTTTGTAACCCATCAGCTAAATTATGTTTGAGAGTACAGAACATCACATTTCTTTAAATTTTGCATGATCAGAAAGGGGTGATGGAACTTAATCAGCTGATGCAAATGACTGCTAAGTGATGAATCAGAAGGCCAAGTGACAAAAGACAGACTTCATGAAATGGCTGATAAAGTGTCACCCAAGTTTATTTCACAGCTCCTAACACAGGAGAGTAAAGAACACTATTGCCTGGATCTTCTGACTTGATTGAATATTGTGGCAAGAAGACCCACTGCGACCACACGATAGGCGACTGAACAGCGGCTGTGGCTAGTAATGGCCTACAAATAACAGAGGAAAGGTTTTTTGTAAGCAGTCTACTGAGCAACAAATGAACAGTGAGAGAGGAATGGTGTTTTTCTGTGTCGTCCATGCCAAGATGTTATAAGCAAGACAACTGGAGCAATGAGTTAGTTGCGGGGCAGTTCACCAGCCAATAAGACCGTGAGCATGGAAGCATAGGACACTGTTGGGTATGTCATTACACACCAATCAGTGAAGACCCAGCAGACTGAGAAGACTTCATAGATGCTGTAGTGAATTGCAGAATGTTTGAATAGGTGTTAGTGCTATAGTTACTTGTAGTTATGATCTGTACGTGTTCAATAAATCCAATCGCTAATCCAAACCTTGTCTATATACACTCTATCATGTGACAACTGGTGTCTGAAGTGGGATAACTGGATTAATTAAAGCCACAGGATCATTATACCATCATAGAATGGAGATGGAACAAATGAGGACATGTTTGCTGGCTGAAATACAGACAAAGAAGAAATGAAAACCAACCAAGAAATGCTAGCTAAGATGCTGACATCAATCTAAGGGGAAAAATGCTGAAGTAAGAAACAATAAAGAAGGATGGAAGCCAAGACAGAGGCCAATAACAAGACCTTTCAGGCCCTTCAAGGTACTCTCCCGAATGGATATCCACCAAGCCAGGACAGAGACCAACCAACAAGATGACAACCAAAATAGATGCCTGGAGAGAAGCCGTAGGAAAATTGTAGGCCAATCGAGAAGAGTCGGCTCTTGTAGCAGGGCAACAGGATGTCCCTAACAAAGACACCACAGTGGAGACTATTGCAACACGGGATAACTGAAGTGGGGGCCAGTGAGGGGCGATGGGATCCTGGAACCCTCTGAAAAGGCAGACCAAGGACATTGTTGTCCAAGGAACCCCTAAAGGATGAACACTTGGGAAGACACAACAAACACGGGTGAAATTCAACAACAGAACAGGGACCAAGGCCTGAAACAGAAATTGTCTGAGAAGCAAGAAGACATTATATGAGGCCCTTGGACAAACTCACATGTTGGCAGTTGTGAAGCAAGTGGTCAGGATTCCCATCAGGTTGTGAAAAGTGTGTGAATGGACATTGCGGAGGGGTTGGTCCCCTCCTAAGGTCCACTGAAGAATCACAATTGTGCACTTAAATAATGTGATGTTAACTAGCATTTCTAAAATGGAAGCAAATGTTCATTCTCTTGCAGAGCAATGGGAGGACAAAGTTGCACATAAACAAGGTATATACAGCCTGTGTTTATTGCAATGTTCAGTTTTGTTTTGATTATGATAGAGGCATTAGAGTGCTCTGGTCCTCACAGCACATTTTTCAGTGTGGCTTGCCTGCCTAAAAGGTCAAGAATCTCTGTACTATTTGAGGTTTTCATGGCAGTGACTATGAAGAATGCCGTCTTTTGGGATGTGGCGCCATGTAGATATTGTATACAATATCCATATGGCGCCACATCCCAGAAAATGTTCATTCTTCAATCCCTATACTATCTTCATAAGTCTTGAAGAGCAACTACTGGACCACTCAACCTGTAAACCTCCCCATTCAATAAACTATTTTAATGTCCTGGTTTTTATAGATTCATTTTTGACACTTTCTGCACACATCTCATATGTATCTGGTTGGCTGTGAACTCATACATATACTAACCTTCACCAAGTTGTTCATATTGCATTGCAGACCCAGCTTGTACAGTTACATACAGTTTACGCACTTCAGTCTGCAGTTCAGTCAGAGCAATTATCAATTCATCATCACTAGAGATGACAATTTCATCACCATCAGAATCTGTGGACAAAGCACATCTGAAAGTAGCAGTGCCAACACAAGGAAGGAAACAACTGTGAAATAATGGGCAAGTGAATCTTTTATTGCAATAAATGCAAGAAAAATTACATTAGGTTATGCTTTTTAGTTTAAAAATTACATTAATAGGCCTCATAGGTCATGTTAGACTTTTGGTTTGTGTTAGCATTAGGGCCCACTACTTCATATCAGCCTTTCCTCCACTGGCAGCTATTCCAGTCAATGAATCTAATGAACAGAGGACTTGTACATATATAAATCTTCCACCTATAAAGGGCACAATGAGCTTTCACAACAGTACTGAGTACACTCTATCAGACTTTCACTGCAGAATTAAAACAAGTATGTGGTTCTATCAAAAAGTTCCCGAAATTTGAATTTTGCACGCGAATGGTTAGAGTTTATTGTTGGTGAATGTATTTCCATTGTTGTGTTTCTGTGAGTTTGTGGTTTTGCGATGGCTGATCTGAGTGAGCAGTGTGTCTGTATAGTTTTGTTTTAAACTTGGGAAATCCGCTGCAGAAACACACCAAATGTTGAAGCAAGCTTTTGGTGACATCAGATTAGGCAATATACAAACTTATGACTGGTATAAGTGTCTCAAAAATGGCCGAACATCGACTGATGACGACGATCATTTGGGATGGACGTCAACTGGCACCACACCACAAAATGTCACAAAAGTTAGGGATCTGATTCTGCAAGATCGTAGACTGACCATCCCAGATCTCTGTAACACCCTGGGACTAAGTTATAGTACATGTCAACGAATTTTGTCAGAGGAACTGAACATGAGGAGGACTGCGGCAAAGTCTGTGCCATGACTGCTGCAAAATGAATAGAAGTAGCATCACTTGAAAGTCTGCAGGGAACTTCAACAACAGCTTCAAGAGTATCCAAACTTTCTTTCGAAGGTTGTCACTGGTGATGAAAGTTGGGTTTATGGCTACAACCCTAAAAGCAAGCAGCAATCATCGCAATGGAAGAGTCCTTCTTCACCTAGGCCAATAAAAAGCTTGATAAGTCAAGAGCAACGTTAAGTCCATGTTGATCTCTTTTTGATATTGACGGGATTGTTCAAAAGGAGTTCGTCCCTCCTGGTCAGACAGTCAATAAAGAGTTCTATCACAATATTCTAAGGCGTTTGAGGGAGGACATGCGGAGAAAACGTCCAGAGAAGTTGCGCACGAACGACTGGGTACTCCACCATGACAATGCACGACCTTATACGGCTTACACTGTGCAGGAATTTTTGGCTAAAAACAAGATGGCAGCTACTGCTCTCTGCATTCCAAGCCATTCATCTGCTCTGAAGATGGAGGCGATACGTTCCTCCGAAACGTCGGCCAAAACGAAGAATACACGGTGCCTAAACCCAGAAGACGACTTTCTTCATAGTCATCGCCGTGAAAACCTCAAAATTACAAAGATGGCAGTTGTTCCCCACCCACCGTACTCGCCAGACTTAGCTCCATGCGACTTCTTTCTCTTCCCCAAGATGAAAATCAAGTTGAAGGGGCGAAGATTTGATACAGTTGAGGAAATTCAAGCGGAAACGCAGACGGTACTAAACACCCTAACAAAGAAAGACTTCCAGGATGCATTTGAAAAGTGGCAGAAACCCTGTGATCGGTGTATGTGCTCCTAAGGGGACTACTTTGAAGGTGATGGTGCAGAATAAGATCCAGGTAAGATGTAATACTTTTTATTAATATAATTTGGGAACTTTTGAATAGCACCACATATGTCACTCAAGAATGGATTATTAACTACAGACACACGTGCAAAGGATACACAAGACAGACTTTTTCTATTATTATTATTATTGTTATTGTTCTGGGTACATGGTCATATTGTATGATCAAGGAAAAACTGAAGAATGTTAGAATCTGGAACACATAAACTATAGTTTATAGCTATTATTCCAGGTTCTAGCAAATTATGGACCTAAGTTCTGTCCTAGTTACCTCTCCATGCTACAGTGAAGTCACATCCACGCAATGATGGAAAAACAGCCTGCAGTTTTTCCCTAAGGTAGCTAAAATTTGACACCACATCACGGTCAACACCAAACCGGCGTACTTCATTAACACCATCATTATGGAGGAACACTTTGAAAGATACTGTATTATCCTGAGCCATGTTTATGCAGCCACTGACACCTGAAAAGATGAACAACAGAAACTACATATACATGATCACCAAATACCGTTTCTTCATATTTTTACATTAGTGGCTGCGTTATGTCATGATTTTGCAAAAATGCAAGGCAAACGATAGAAAACAGATGTTTTCAAAATGTGGCATATTTAAGATATTTGGGAATGACGATAACAAATCAAAACCTGATTGAGGAGGAAATTTAGAGGAGATTGAACTTGGGTAATGTTTGCTACCACTCAGTCCAGAACCTTTTGTATTCTCGTCTGCTGTCCAAAAACATACAAATTAGAATATACAAAACTATAATTTTGCCAGTTGTTCTGTAGGGGCGTGAAACTTGGTCTCTGACAATAAGGGAGGAACACAGACTGAGGGTGTTTGAGGAGATTATTTGGACCAAAGAGGGATCAAGTGACAGGAGGTTGGAAAAAGCTGCATAATGAGGAGCTTCATAACTTGTACTCTTCTCCAAGTATAATTAAAATGATCAAGTCAAGGAGGAGGAGGTGGGCAGGGCATATAACACGAATGGAGGCGACAAGAATGCATATAGCATATTGGTGGGAAAGCCAGAAGGAAAGAGACCACTGGGGAGAACAAGGCATAGGTGGGTGGACAATATTAAAATGGATCTTAGAGAGATGGGATGGGTTGGTATGGATTGGACTGATCTGGCTCAGGATAGGGACCAGTGGAGGGCTCTTGTGAACACAGTAATGAACTTTCGGATTCCATAAAACCCTGGGAAGTTCTTGAGTAGCCACATATTTGGCTTCTCCTAAAGAAGGGCTCAGCTCCGTAAGTAAGCAAGTGGCTGTGGCACATGTACCTCCCCTTTCCATCTCTTTCTTCACTGGTTGCATTTTGCAAGGAAAAGAACTTCAGTGACTACACAGTTTAGTTCTTCAGTGGTTGGAAGTTTGAATTAATGCTGTAATGGCAGAAAGTAGGTACAGTTACATTCATTTAGCTTGAAGTGGAAGGGGTAACAAAGTGCCCTAATGTTGAGTTATTCTTAATTTATTTAATGATACTTCCAACAGCCCACATTACATAGCATTTCATGAATAATTAACTTAAAAGATGTGGAAAGAGTGGTTATGATCTAATTCAAGATACTATCCCAGGATTTGCTTCTAGGTACTTGCAAAAACCATGAAAATACCTCATTCTGGACAGCCAATTTCAGGGTTCAGATCTGAACACCAGACCCCCTAAATACAAAGCTACCAACTCAACTGTTGCATCTGTAATTACTGTCCATCACTTCAGGATGTGTGCTTTGCTTCTGGACAAGGGATTTACAAGCAGCTTGTAAGAATGCCATAGTTTGTGGCATTTGTTTTGACAAGAATGAATGAAAGGTGATCTGGACAAGGGGTGGATGGTATAAGGCTACAATCCACTATCTCCTTCCTACTGACCTTCCCTTCGTGCCTCGCCCACTACTCAGAATCCTCCAGTTAAGACTTACAATAAAATAAATAATCCAGTCTAATTATTGTAATAGAACCCAATGGGTATGTAATCAATAAATATAGTATAATTAATAATTAGGCCATAACATACACAGTCAGCCCTTGCACTTACAACTGTGCCCACTGATCTTCGAGTTTATACTATCTATTATGTGCAATTAGCAGATACAGGGATAGGGCGAAATAACAATAATAATCAACTACAACAGTCACAAATAATGAATGTGAAAGTGACAATAGTTAAACTGGTAAAATTATATGAGGATTGCAGTGCAAATTAGGGGACTCTTCTGGAAATCTTGGAACTTTGTATATAACAAGAGAATTTTTAGTACACTATCTTTCTTAGGATACCTGTACCCATATTCTAGTTTGCCACAAGTGGTTTACATGTGAGAATTTGTGTTCTGCTATGTTTTTGGGCTAGCTGTATTTATTTTTTTTTATTATTCAGTACGAACCGGTTCGATATCTTAGGTCATGTATTACGCCCCTCTAGGCCTTCTTTCCGAATCTGCAGCACATATCCAATTATTACTTACAGAGATTTAAATCATCGCAATTACTAATTCTGTTGATTTAAATCATTACATTTATATTAAACATTTTGTACCTACAGACTCTATTGTTGAAAAACGTGTGGGACACAATTTTACTTTTAACCCTATCAGGAAAAGTACTTACTGAATGTGGAAGAGCAAATTTCTTTCAGCAACACAAACTTGGAGGACAATAATGTCCTTCAATCAACAGCCTCGCCACTGCTACAACGTAACTGTATACGTTTACAAAGAGCTCGTCAGGTTTATATACACACAACCTAAATATGCAGTTTCATGTTACGTATGAGATAAATGTACACGATCATGCCCACCAACTTGAGAAATGATGCTGACAGCGAGTCCGCTAAAATTTCATTTGTTTTTGTCCACTACATGCTCCGTGCTGGTTTCTTGCTTAGCTTCTCTTCAACCATGAAGACGAAAAGGACATGTTCTCCGGTCAGTTGACTTTCAAAGGACTACATGGTGTTATGTCCCGGAAGATAAAACGCTTTGTGTTTACTTTTCAGTATGTTGGTCATCCTGAGGATTAATTTGTCGATTGCCAACGAATTTCAACTGTCTGGATTGTATGGATTCACAGTCACATGATTTCGTTGTCATGATCACATGAGCAGATGAGTATGACATGATGACGTCATGTTTAGTATTGGAGAAGTGCTTGTCATTAAAATGTAGAATATAAGTTATTTCTTCGCCTCATTCAGTAATTTACTACATAAAAGAGAATAATTTCACACACACACATATATATATGTATATTACATACTGAATTTTTTTCTAGGATGATACTCCCACTTTTCCGGATTGTGTTGCAAGTGATACGCAATTACGACTCACTGTGAGGCAATACTATTGCTAGCAGAATTTATGCTGTTGGAAATTGAAATGGAATGTTCTAGGTGACGGGTTTTGTAGTATAGCTGACAGATTGCATAATGCCAGAGAGTAATAATAAAGCAGATGCAGTAATCTGGTTTAGGATTTCAAGAATTAAAATATGTACAGAGGTTTGTTACAATTATTGCGTACTCGTGTTTTTCCCCCTTTTCGTACATAATGGTTCGAGGTATTCGGGTTTGCTGCCACACACTACGTCAAAAACCTTACGGTTTTGTTCCACATTACATGTTTCGACTGCTATGCGGTCACTATCAGGTGCAATGCATAAATATATTGAAAATTGACATGTTTTCTATTGTGTAAGTTTTCCTGTACATAAACCGAACAGAGCTTGTTTAAACTTAATTTTGTTGTTTTCTTAATACACGGCTAGACGACGACAGCAGCAACAACAATGACGAAGACGATTGCAATAATAAGCAAGGAACGCTAAATTTAAGGGCGACTGAAAACGTGGAAGTTTTAGACTGATCACCGAAAGAATATTAACAACGCAAAGAATCCAACAGCTTGTGGATTAACATACAATATACAAAGAGAGTGCTGTTCTGATGCACTTTAATCTAGAAAGTGATGTGATTTGATCAATACCGGCTTGTTTGGTCAGTACCCATTTTACCAAGAAGAAGACTTCTCTAAACCTGTAGACTTTCATTCAACAGCCTCCTACTAATTCAGTTGATTCTTCGGAAATAATTACACGAACTGATTTGCAACACAAAGACTGAATTTGTGGGCACTGTTGATCCATGGCTCTACAGTCCTTTTGTTATACCTCGGCCGCTTTTCCCGTTTCTTAATCCTCTCTGTGGTCTAGTGTCAGAGTTTCTGGCTACAGATCCGGAGGCCCTCGGTTCGATTCCCGGCGTTACCAGATTTTCTGAGAATTAGTGGGTCTGGAACGGAGTCCACTCAGCCTCGTGAGGATGACTGAGGAGCTATTTTAAGGAAATATGGGGCTTCGGTCTAGAAAACCGAGATTAACGGCCATGGGGATCCGTTGCGCTGACCACGTAACATCCTCTATCTGCAAAAGTTGGCAGTAACTTCGCCGACAAACGGCGGTCGCTCGGTCGGCATAGTTCGCTTGCGGACTACAGGCCACGGAGGTTTTTTTTTTCCCTGTAGTATATACGGTCGGTATCACTCCTCCGACGGGTCATCAGCCCGTCACAACGCCAAAACCTACACACAAAACAACACGAACACAAACATCCATGCCTTGAGTGGGATTCGAACCCTCGATCCCAGCGTTCAAGCGAGCCAAGACAGTTCATGCTTTGGACCGCGCGGCCACTGTGTTCGGTTTTTGCGGAGTAAGTAAATCGCAGTTTGTGTAGCCCACAAGCGCGGCATGTTCTTTTACAATTGCTTAAAGTGCCCCCCCCTCTACACGCTCAGTTAATATTTTAAGGGAAGGGTTATCGAACTCTGTCATGCTGTGACCTCTGAAATAGTATGTGCACATAAATTTATACGTTCCCTCCCCATCTCTGTCGGTCAGCATTAAGTGAGGACTGTTGCAGGTCCTTATCAGTCTGCACCTTGATGCCAGGAACATAAATTGTTTTTCAACCTACAGTAACCTAAAACCTACAACCGGAATAGCGTAGTCGGTATGGCGACTGGCTACAGGCTGGAATTCCGAGGGGTCGGAGTTCGAGTCCCGATAGCATCAAGAATTTTCTCTTCTCCACGTCGTCCAGACCAGCTCTGGGGTCCACCCAACCTCCTATCCAAAGGTACCTGTAGCTTTTCTCCGGAAGTAAAGCGGCCGGGGCGTGAAGCTGACCACTCACCTCTGAGGTCAAGAAAATGTGGATATATATATGCAGGGGATGATTGATAGACTAATCGAAATTGGAAGGTGCTATGGCATGGAAATGAATGTGGAAAAAACAAAAGTAATGAAAATTTCGAGACAACCAACCCCAGTCACAATAAAGATAGACCAAAAACAACTGGAGAATGTGAAATGTTTTAAATATTTGGGTAGCTTGTTAACAGATGATGGAAGGTGTACTAGTGAAATTAAAT